CAAATTTTTGGACAACACTTTCTTTGTTGAGATACAGGTTTCCTATAAGCTTGATTTCTATTCTTCTCAATGTTGCCTATAATATGTTATGATTCACAAAATCAAATGCTTTTGCATAGTCAGTAAAGCACAAACAGACAATCTTCTTCACAGCCAGGATCTGTCTATGGCATCAGCAATAATACCCATGGTATCACACTCTTTTAAACTCAGTTTGAACTTCTGGCAGTTCCCTGTTAATGCACTGTTCTAATCATTTTTAAATTATCTTCAGCAATATTTTGCTTCTATATGATATTAATATTAGCCAATATTTTCCACATTCTGTTGGACTACTTTTCTTAAGAATGGGAATACATATAGCATGATGGTAGGGAAGACATATCTGGAGATAAAAATATGTGTGTATGCTTGGGTGTGTAGGACGACTACAGATAGAAAAGCCCAATATGGCCTATCACTCCTTTTTTGTTTTCTTTCTTTTTTCCCTGTCACTAATTTAATCTCTATCAGAAATACGACTTTTTCATACCAATACTTGCTTAGCTTTAGATTCTGCTTCAAAAGTGTTTACTACCATTCAAGTTACTTCTATAGTTAATTCACTGAGTGAACAGTCAACCAGTTTTAACTAATCATAAAGTTTAAAATTTTTGTGTTAGTAATTTCAAGAGTTCTATAAATTTTTAGCTTGTTTTAGTTTGCTTTATTTATTTCTTACATAAAGGGATAATTAGATTGCATGTCAAGTTTCCTGCTTCTGGACAGGTCAGATATAGGGACTTACCTTAGGAGACAGGCAAATAGGAGGCTGAAAAGAATGTTGGCTTCCTTTTGATAATGATAAGAAAATATTAATGAAGTTGCTGAAGAAATATCATACTGGAAATAGTCTTTATTTAATGTACTATATAATATCAAATGTTCATGAACATATACATGTACTTTCATTACTCAGTCTCATCCTACTTCTGAGGTAAATAGACAAAGCTAATTTTTGTTGTGAGATGTTTCTGCTGCGGGAAGTAGACTGATAGTGTAATTGCAAGGAGCTGTGCTGCCAATTCAATGCCATGCAGTTTCTAACCCATTAGCCTAACTCTGCAGAGGAAAGATGGACAATCTCTTTCCTTATTATTTACAACTATGAGTCAGTTCTTATTTGAAGGAGACAACCACCACATTCTTTGAACTAGTTCTCTCCATCCTTTATTAGACATCTCTTGTACTTTAGTTTCTTTCATAGCATTATGAAATAACTGCATTTTAAAAATCTGCTTCATCAGACATTCTTTATTTTTGTTTATTTTATTGTGATTGAAGATGATTTACTGAAAGGTTGGGTTTTCATTTATACATTATTGCAATTTCCCTTCCTTCTCTTTCCTTCAGAACTCTCCTCTAGTCTGCTCTGCAATGTACCTCTTTTTCCAGATTGCTGTCAAACATACAATGTCTAATCACACATTCCTTTCAGAGAGTTCTTCCTCCCATCTATTCCAATCCAGTGTTCATTATCTATCCACTCTTTTTTGCTTTTCTCTCCCCAATTCTCCATGTTAATCCTATTTTATAACAACAGTGTTATGTGGTATTTGCCCTTTTCTTGCTGAGATATTTCACTGAGCATAAGGTTTACCAAGCAAACTCATATTTTGTAGTGTTTTGCAAGTTCATTGTTTTTCAATGTTGTAGAATATATTCCATTATGAATGTACAACAGTTTTTCTATTCATTCATTTACTAATGGGCACTTGGACAGCTTCCATTTTTTAATATTGTTAATAATATAAAAATAAATGTGGTGTATACATCTATTTGTGTGTGGCTTTAGTTTCTTTAGGTTATATTCCCAGTAGTGGAATTTCTAGATCAAATGGTATTTCTCTTTACAACGTTTTGAAAACACTTAACCACTTACTATATTGGTTGTACCATTTTACATCCCCACCAGCAGTGAATAACAGTTCTAAACTCTACACAACCTCATTAAAATTTGTTGTTTGTTGCCCTTTTGAACTTTTCTGTTGTTGCTGGGGTGAGATGATGTCTCATAGTTGTGATCTGGAACTTCATGTGTTTGCCATCTGAATTTCTTTTTTGGTAAAGAGTTTGTTCTTATTGTGTGCCCATTTTATAAATGAGTTATTTTTCCTTGTTGAGGTGCTAGAGTATTCTAGAACTTTTATATATGACTTCCTTATCAGGAATATAAAATTTATAGAATTTATAATTATTATACCATTGCTAAATATTTTCCCCTAGTCTGTGAGTTTCTTTTTTACCTTTTGGAGAATATTTTTTGAGGTGCATAGGAATTTGATTCTTAGAAGGTCTCATTCATTTATTTTATTCTCTCCTACTTGTAGGTTTTCATTATGTGTGGAACTCTGTTCAGCCTGTTGATTAGGGCTTTTAGAATTGTTCCTATATTTTCTTTGATGAAGATCATGGTCTTTGGTTTTACTCTTTGGTCCTTTGTCTATCTTGAGTTAGTTTTTGTATATGGTGTGAGATGTGGGTCTTGCTTAAGCTTTGTGCAGATGGTTTTCTATTTTTGCCAACACTATTTGGATAGGGCACAGGAATCGTGGCAAGCTTTTGGAGTTGAGTGCTTTTCCAAGCATGTGTTTGATGTGCAGGTTTGCTCTGTCCCCAGGAGCAAGGCAAGCCAGGCTGGGCCAGGGTTTGAGCCAGGAGGCGGCCTTAAGCCCAAAGGGTCCTCGGGCCTGCAGCCCTTGGGCCAGGTTCAAATTGTTTTCCTGTCAAACATTCTTCTAGGTGGTATAGCACTGGTCAGTGTGTTGCTGTACAGAGGTAACTCATGGTTGCTGTGATGCTGAAGACTGTGACAGTGATGTGCCAATCGTGGTAATGGGTACCCATGGTGGACAGTGTTGGCTGGAGCTTCCCGACTAAAACAAGCCTGGAAGCAGGAGTGGCATCCACTTCTGAAATGGCTTGCCTCCGGAAATTCTGTGTACGAACAGTGCTCAGGCTATTCGTTCATAAGGTCGTTATGAGTCACCTACGACTCGATGGCACCAAACAGCAACAACAAAATTTGGATAGGGAGACTCAGTATCACAAAACTTACAATTTAACAAAGGAAGCCTACAAGTTTAATGCAATTCCAAATTAGATACCAGTTTTATTCTCCAATGAGATGGAAAAGGCAATTTCTAATTTTATTTGAAATAGGGAAAGACCCATAATAAGCAATATACTACCGAAAAAGAGAAACGAGGAAGGAATTCTCACCCTCTCTGATCTCTAATTATATTACACTGCTGTGATGGTCAAGACAGTGTGGTACTGGTATATTTATGGACACATAGATAAATGGAATAGAGTTGAGAACCCAGAAATCAGCTCATCCACCTATGCTCAATTGATCATTGACAAGGAGACAAAATCAGTTAAGTGATGGAATGACAGCCTCGCATATTCTTTAAGCATTGTTATCAAAACAAAATAAAATCAGCATAGTTAAAGAAATAAACATATTTGGGGAAATGGTCACTGGTGAATTGCTCATTGCTCTGAATTTATTTTTCATCGAAAATTATTAAATGTTAATAACTATTATATCTCACCCCTTTCATCTCTTTGTGGTCTAAATTTTAGTTAGTAACTGATCTTTTTATAAAATGTTTATATATGTTTATAAAAATTTGTGGTTGCTGTGAGGCTGAAAACTGACACCAATGTGTCAAATGCATTAATGGTTGGTTACCCAATACAGACAGAGAGTGGGGCGGAACTCCCCAATTAAAACAAGCTTGGAAGCAGGAGTGGCATCCACTTCCATAATAGCTTGCCTCCAGAAACGCTATGAACCTGGAGAGAGGATGAAAGACACCCAAGCGTTTAGGACTCTCCTTCATAGGGTCGTTATGAGTTGCCTGCGACTCAATGACACTTAACAACAACAACAACAACAACAACAACAACAACATGTTTCTCCTTACAATGAATATACTAAAAAACAGAGGTTAAAATTGGTTTATATTTTTCTCTTCCAGGCTTTTGGGCTTATCTGTCTTCTTGTTGTTGTATTGTCATCTGTCATAGGAAACCTTAAATAAATAATGTCTAAATCAATAAATGTGGAGCTCTGGTGCTAATATTCTGCACCTGGTGTTAAGGAACTATGCTGCCAACCCAAAGGCATGAGTTCCTAGCCCACAAGCTGCTCCATGGTAGAAAGTTGGGCAATCTCCTCCCATGTGATTTACTGCCTCTGAAAATCCACTGGAGGGTTAGCTATGAGTCAGTTCCAACTCAACAGTACATTGCAACAAAAGATGACTACATATTTTGTGAATGAAGGAGGATGTATCCATTGACCCAGAAATTTCACCTTCTTTAATAAAATAGATTTTTTTACTTACCTTTCAGAAGAATTTTCGTGATATGATATTATTTTGAGAAATACCTACGATGCTACTGACCTATGTAATTAGCTGAGAATTTATGCAGAGTAGGTTTTTAATTTATGCTCATTTATTGGAGAGATTCTAGACTGGACAGAAAACACTATAGAGAGGAAAGGTACTCTGGAGGTTGGAGCTAGAATGGGTGGAATGTCAGGACAAGGAGACTTCTTGGCAAGCAAATACTGTGGAAATTATAATTGAAAGTGGATGACAATCAAATTATGACTGATGAGATGACAGATTTGTAGGTTTATAAACTAGAAATAAATTTGATTTTGGTAGAAATCTTCCAGAGAAGGGCCATGGGTTAGGTCAGACTATAGGCTGGCCAGAATATTCACAAGTAAAATAAATCCTGCAATGGCTACAAAGATGACTATGATAATTAGTATCATTCATGTGCAACCAGGAAAATACAGATAGATATTCAAGATATTGAAAGGGCTGTGTTAGAAGTACATTTCAATGTTTTACAGGCTTTAAAGTATTTTATGTAACTATTTCTCAGTCAATGATTGATAAACAGACTTCTTGTATTATATATACAAACATATTTTGCAGGTTTACAGCAGTTCGTTGGAAGAATGCAAGATTTTCGATTATACCCAGTGGTGCTTACAAACAGGTAAAAAGATGTGTAAGGATATTGTGTAAATAAACGCTGAATTCACTTAAATAAGTGTAGCATGAAGATTTTAGCATTTTTCATCTTTATAGAACTTAGCTTAGCAAACATTACCTAATTAATGTTTACTATGTTTGCTTTGACTTAGGCTTTGACTATTATTCACTTTTGTTACTCTATCAGGTAGCTCATTATAGTCTGAAGAATTTTTTCCAAAGCATTTTTCTAAGAAAACTTGATTTTCAAACAATTTGTGTTATAGAAATTTGTATACAGTTGTTTAAATTTATATAGGAATTATTTTCTAATACATAATAAACAACTATAATTGTTTTTCAAATTTCTTTCTTAAATTTCCAATTACTAGAGAATATATAAAAATAAAAGTGATTAGTTGTTTGTATATATGAGAAAAGACCTGAGAGTCTGGACTGTTATTAGGTTAGAAGGCAAAAATGAATAATTTGAACCACTGATGGAAACTGGGCCACCAGGTCTGGGTACACCAGGAGCCACAGCTCCCAGACCCAAGCCCACAAAGACACTTGCTGGACCTGAAGGCACCCAGAGCCAGGCCAGGCACCACTTGGAGTCAGAGCATGCAGACACAGAACCCAGACACATGCTGAGGAGCCAGTGGCAGGCCACGAGGGATCATCTTAGCTGAGGAGCACACTGATTATAGACAGGAGTAATTAAATCCTGTGCCATCATGGGTTAGATAGAGGCTTCAGGAGGGGTGGGGGTGGGGGTAGGGCTGGAGAAGAAGAGTGAAAAAGCCACGACGAATTGCCAAATTGATCAGTGAGTTTTTGTATTGGGGAAGTGTCATTGCATGTTGCTGTTCTATATATGTGTATGTTTCATTTTGTATCATTTGTTTTTTGAGGTATCGCGCTTGTTTGTCAGATGCTGTGCTAAAGTGGAGCTCCCAAATTAAGACAGACAAGGAAGAAGGATTTGCTACATACTTCTGAAATAACAGGCCTTCTAAAACTCTACGAACAATAGAACATGCTTAGACAATTAAGAGTATTAGATATAACACTGGAGGCTGAGACTTCATCTTGTTGTTGTTGTTAGGTGCCATCAAGTTGTAGACGACTCATAGCAACTCTAGGAACGAAAGGCCTGAGCACTGTTCATAGAGTTTCCGGAGGCAAGCCATTTTGGAAGTGGATGCCACTCCTGCTTCCAGGCTTGTTTTAGTTGTGGAGCTCCACCAAACACTGTCCACCATGGGTAACCATTACCACGTTTGGCACATCAGTGTCCCAGTGTTCACCATCACAGGAACCACGAGTTACCTCTGTACAGCAATGCACAGACCAGTGCTATACCACCTGGCTCCTGGGGGCATCTTAGGAAACATAAAAGTGAAGGAAAGTTGTAAATAGCCACTAATAATTAGAATGTGGAAAGTACAAAGTGGGAATGTAAGAAAATTTGACATTATTAAAAAAGAAATAGAGCGCATAAATGTTGACATACTAAGACATTGACAAGCTAAGATGTTTTGGCTTGGGTCACATTGAATCAGACAATCACATGATCTACTTGCCAGGGAATTTAAAAGTAAGGAAAAATGAGGTTGCAGTCATAGTAAAAAAATACTATTTCTAGATCCATAACGAAGTACAATGCTATGAGGCCAGGACATATATATACAAAGAAGAATGGTCAGTACCACTATCATTCAAATATATGCACCAACAACTAAAGTTGAAGAGAAAGAAATAGAAGACTTCTACCAACTTTTGCAGTCTGAAATTTATCGAACATACAATCAAGATTCATTAATAATAATTGGTGACTGAAATACAGAATCTGAGAATAGGGAACAGTAGCTGGAAAATATGGACTTGGTCACAGAAATGGGACTGGAGATAGAAGGATAGAATTTTGAAAAATTAATTATATATTCACTGCAAACACCATTTTATTAAAAAAACCAAACCACACAACTGATGACTATACACAGTGATCTCACCTGATAGACTACACAGGAATCAGATTGATCACATTATGGAAAGAATTGTTGGAGAAGCTTGCTATTATTTATGAAAACCAGGGCAGGTTCTGACTGTGGAATAGATCATCAGCTACTCATGTGCAATTTAAAACTGAAGCTAAAGGAAATTAAAACAAATGCACAAAGCTTAAAATTTGACCTGGACTCTTTCTCATCTTAATTTCAAACTATCTCAAGAACAGGTTTGAGGCCTTGAGCACTATGAGCAAAGGACTGATAAACTGTAGGGATAATATAAAGAATATCATCCATGAAGAAAGCAAAAGGTCATTACAGATACAGACAAAGAAGAAAAAGACCTAGAAAGATGTCAGAGAAGATCTGAACATTGTACTAGAATGCTGAGAAGCAAAACAAAATGAAGAAGTGAGGAAGTTAAAGAGTTGAAGAGAAGATTTCAGAGGGCAGCTTGTGAAGACAAAGTAGAGAATTATAATGAAAAGTGCAAAGAGCTGGAGTCAGAAAATGAAAAAATAATAGGTATTTCTCAAGCTGAAGGACTTGCCACAAGTTGAAATACTTTAATTCAAGCCACAAGCTGCAATACTTAAAAATGCTGTGAGCAATATACTGACTGACCCAAGAAGCATCAGAAAAAGATGGAAGGAATACAGAGTCTTGGTACACACACAAAACCATAAAAATTTAAAAAAAAATTGGCAGACACAGAAGTTTGTTAACAATTATAACTTACTTAGCACCACAATCAACCCTCTTAACACCAGCAGTCAGGATATCAGAGGACAAATTGCATTGGAAAAATCTGCTGTCTGGCACCTCTCTAGAGTGCTAAAAAACAAGGATGTCAGTCTAGAGACTAAGGTGCATCCAATCCACTCCATAATCTTTGTAATCACTTGCTATGCATCAGAGAACTGGACAATGACTAGAAATGACAAAAGAAGAATCGATACCTTTTATTGTGGTTCTGGAGAAGAGTCTTGAACACCAGAAGAGTCTTGAACATACCATGGGCTGTGAAGAAAACAAATAGGTCTGTCTTGGAGAGAGTGAAACCAAGTTTCTCTTTGGAGGCTAGATTTTGAAGCTTTGTCTCAAATACTTTGGACATGTGGCCAGGAGAGACTGGTCCTTGGTGAAGGACATTATGCTTGGAAGGGTGGAGGGACAGTGCAGGAGAGTAAGACCCTGGATGAGAAGGATTGATACAATGAAGTGGGTAATGGGGGTTGGTGTGTCAGAATTAGTGAGACTAGCTCAGGACAGGGCAGGATTCAGAGCTGCTGTACATAGGATAGCTGTGGGTCATAAGCGACTCAACAGCATATAACAATAACAAGGACAAAAATAATAACAGCCTATGATCAAGAACCAAAATTAATAAGGGATGAAGTTAATGCTGCTCTGAAGGAATTGGCAAAAAGTAGGGCCCAAGGAATTGTTGGAATACCATTTGACATATTTCAACAAACAGAAGCAGCCCCGGATGTGCTCAACAGGTTTTGATAGAAAAATCT